ATCGTTTTTATTGCCGTATAACAAGAGATTTTGATCAACCAAAAAGTGTTCCGTTCACAGAAGTTACAGATGGGGGTTCTATCTTGGGTAGGCAGACCTTCCGGTCAGAAATTTATATTGTTACGGAAATCCCAAATCCTGTTCATTCCAGCTAAGTATTAAACTCCCTACAGAGGGAGAAACTAAATACACATTCGCATCGCCTCACGCAACTGCCGACCGAGAGAAACGAATGCCAGAAAAGCAGGTTAACGAATTCAAAGTGAAACTATAAAATTAGGTATAGTAACCTGATTGTAATAATGTATATAAACAGAATGTTTGTGGAAGGCACAATTAGTCGGACAAGGACATTTGAGTCGAAAGTACTGCCAAAAATTGTGAATAGTCGTACTGTTAAGAAATATAGTTGTAAATAAAAGAATTTTTAAGTGTATTTCTCTTGATCAAAATATCCACGATCCACGACTGTGTCTTACAAAAGCGAATTTCATAGCAATATATTCTTATGTGGCGATCCAGGAACTTCGAAATCGCAAATGTTGCAATATGTCTACAATTTGGTGCCACGATCACAGTACAAAATGGAAGATACGAACATTTCACCTGGTTCGGGGCTTTCCTTGCTTCAAAAAAAATGAGTCAAGAGGGCACTAACTAGATAAGTATTTATGAAAATGGTATTGTTATTGTTTTTCTTTTGCGGAATTTTTATTTTAGAACTTGTCGTCTCCTTACGACGAGCTTACCATAATCCCGGCAGGCTTTGATGTTACTCGTTTGAATACGTATCGAAAGAAACTCATTGGCATCGTAAAAAAGCAGTGTGTAGGAATAATGCAAACAAGTTTAAGTGTAGAGCCAATATCTTATTTATTTTATGGCACCACACTTTAGCTCTACGCCGAAATCGTATTACAGCGATTCCTTATTTTTCCTGTCGTTGGGTCTGCATCGCATCGCGGATGAGAGAACGGGCTGTTTTATTGGACTGTGATATAGTCTTCGAGGCAGATGTACGCTTCCTTTTTGCTGAATTTGAACGTCTCTCCAAAGAAAATCTTTTCGTTTTAGGGCCGGAGCTAATTCCAGTCTATCGTCATATTTTATATCGGTAACGAGCAATATTTTCCCAACACGGACTTCGGTAGCCCTTTCTACATGTCGCCAAATGAACTATATAATTTACTTTCTGCTGAGACCCATACCTATAAAATGCGAAAATCTGAAAAACATCTGCGACATGGTTATCCGGGTCCCAATTCCGGAGTTGTGCAGCTACACCTCACTGCTATACGTCATGCCCGGCTTTTTCACGACAAACTGCAAGAAACTGGGATACGTAAATTGACATCAAAGTGTATGTTTAAAGGTGACTTGGGCGATCAAGACTTTTTCACTTTATTGGGCTATGAATCTCCGAATCTGATTTATCGTCTAGATTGCGTATGGAATCGTCAATTGTGTACATCGAAAGATCATGGCTATAGTGATGGCTTTGATAAATATTTCACTTGCAAAGGACGTATGAAAACGTATCATGGCAATTGTAATGCTCGGGTACCCGAGTAATAAATTCAATAAGTCCGAGGAATGCCGATAATGGCAGATTAACGGACGTTCAATTGTATGCATCTCATATGTTAGTTAACTAGTTACTTATGTAAAATTTGCTTACCAAAATAACAAATTTCAACTAAAATTTTCTCCTCAACATCTTAGTTAGTGCCCTATTTTCCCCACCTCATAAGTATTTATCTCGCTTAATAATCGTTATATCCTTTCAAAAGCCAAGGAAAGGAGAAAAAAGCCATATATATATATATATATATATATATATATATACAATTATAAGTATAACAGAAAATTGTAAAATTGTAAGATGAAAAGTGACTTGAATGAAACATTCCATTTATTTAACAATGACTACAACAGCTTTTTGCCATTGTTGAAACTACGGTATACTAAACCACGGTATATAATAATATTAGGTTGGGGAAAAAGAAATCCATTATTTTTTCGGTAGATGGCTGCACTGATAGATTTCTCGTAATGTATCGATCAAACAATTTCAGATTTCTGCTCGTTGGAAAGGTGACATTTCGCAGTAAAAAAATTCTTTTGCTGTTTTTTGTTTGGTGCATTCAGCTGTGAGTTACAGCGTGTTAAAAATGGAAGTGAACAAAGAAAAAATTCGGTACATTTTACAGTTTTTCTTTGACAAAGGCGAAAATGCAAGCCAGGCGGCTAAAATTGTGAATGGGGTTTATGGTTCCGATACTGTAACAGCCAATTATGTGCAATTTTGGTTAAAGATGCAGCTCGCACAGGTAGGCCGGTCGTCAAAAATGTCGATAAAATCGGAGAAATGATTGAAGTTGACCGGCATGTTAGCAGTCGTAACATCGCCCAGGAGCTAAAAATCGACCATAAAACAGTTTTAAACCATTTACACAAATCTGGATTCAAAAAGAAGTTCGGTGTTTGGGTGCCACAACAATTAACAGAAAAAAACATGATGGATCGAATTTCCATCTGCGAAGCCTTGGCCAAACGGAATGAGATAGACCCATTTCTTAAACGGATGGTGACTGGAGATGAGAAGTGGATCACATACGATAACCCTGTGCGAAAACGATCGTGGTCAAAGAGCGGTGAAGCATCTCAATCGGCCAGGAAGGTTTTGCTATGCATTTGGTGGGACTGGAAGGGGATTATGAGTTGCTTCCATATGGCCAAACGCTAAATTCTGATCTCTACTGTCAACAACTGGACCGTTTGAAGATAGCGATTGACCAGAAACGGCCAGAATTGGCCAACAGGAGAGGTGTCGTGTTCCACCAGGACAACGCTAGGCCACACACATCTACAGTGACTCGCCAGAAACTTCGGGAGCTTGGTTGGGAAATTTTAATGCATCCGCCATACAGTCCGGACTTGGCATCAAGCGATTATCATCTTTTTCTTGCATTGCAAAATTTCTTTAATGATAAAAAATTGGAATCTAGGGAGGATTGTGAAAATCGACTACTAGAGTTTTTTGCAAATAGAGACCAGGACTTCTATGAGAGAGGCATTGTGAAGTTACCTTTAAAATGGCAGCAAATCGTACAACAAAACGGTGCATATTTGACCCAAATCGGACAATCCGAAGCATGTTAAATAAAGTCGTGAAGTTCATATAAAAATAATGGATTTCTTTTTCCCCAACTTATATTAAACGCACCTACATAAGAGGAAATAAGTTTTGCTTTTACTTTAGCGAATCAACTAATCTTTTTTGATGACATGGCAGATAATCTCGACGGTATTACCTGCCGAACTAGACAATTTTTTACTTGTTCCTTTACAGAATGTTTATTTTATAGAACATTTTCTATTATTATTATTATTATTATTATAAATTTAACCAGACAATAAATTTTAAGACTAAAGCCTTAAAGCATTAGCATCTAAGGCTATCGGTTTTATTAAAACTTTACCGCACTTGAGATTTGAACCCACGACCATTGAGTAGCTAGTCGAGACTCTTGTCTACTTGGCCACTCAGGCGGAGAAAGAATCTAATAATTTCACCTGGGTATGGATTCGAATAAGTTTTCTAAATTAGTTAAACTTTATTGCTTAGGTCGGCCATTGCTTGAAAAGTTAAGTTGTTGCTTCGGTTGGTGTTATTAGTAGAGAAAGTAAGAAATTGATTTCACACATATATATGCATATATACCTAAACAAAACAAACCATTGGATTCATAATTAAAAACATTTCGATTTTCGTGAGAAAACCCGTATGCATTTAACAATAATTGGGTGATATGTTATATATATGTATATAAATGCAAATTAGTTGACTTTTATTATTGGAAGTAAAAGATTGAATAACTTTAAAACTGTTTGGAAAAGGATTTAATATTGTTCGGCAAGCGATGTCTAATGCAAGCCAAGAAAATACTTTTGAAAGCGAGAAATTAAGGAGGAGTTTTAGATTAAACAGTTCTATAGAGAAATAGCAACTGCTACCTAGGCTACTTGACGGCATTTATTTGAATAAAATACTTTTGATATTTTTATTCAAATAAAAATCGGTTTACACTATATTAAGCTAAACAGGGTCAAGCAGTGTTTTTGAAGACAATATTTAGGTGGTAAAAAATTTTTTTTCGTTTTAACTATTCACAAAAGCCGCTTATTCAATTAATATACAGTAAAAGTTCCTTATTCGCTCTTCCTTTATTCGCAGATTCTATTCACAGATGAAAAAAATGCGACCAATTTCCATATTTGCGGCTATAAATTTCTTTATTCGCGGTTATTGAAAATGTAAACAAACAGAATGAAAGGAAACTTATTACTCAATGAATAAAGTATTGTTGCGAAAATCCCAAATCCCAAATTTCATTTCAGCTAAGTAATTTCCCCAAATAACAAATTGCCTAAAGAGGGAAAAACGAAATGCACATTCGCATTCAATTAAATTGATTTTTCTATATACTTGTTTTTTTTTTATTTTGTCACCTAGAAATGTATCCTCTAAAATCCCATATAAATTAACGATTACAATTAAATTAACAAAATTTATTCACGGTTTCTGTATTCGCGGCATTTTTGTGGAACGTATCCCCCATGAATAAGGAAGGTAATAAAAGTTCGTATTCTAAGGGAGCAAAAAAACGTACCATGTCAACGGTTACTACCATGTTTAATTCTTTACCGAATTTACGTAACAATCTGCTCAAAATTTCATGAGGTATGAGTACCATCGTATTTACTATGTATTCTGTTGTTCGAAAAATATAAAAAAAAAAATAAAAATAATGATCTCGCAAAAAATGCAATAATTTTATTTATTTATAATATATAATTGTAATTTTATTTATTTCTTTATATTTTAAATCACAATGGCAGATTTTATTAATGTGGATTTATTTGTTTTCTATTGTCTTTTCTTACACAAGGATCTAGTGTAGCAGAATGATTTTTCAACAAATCCCCCAAGTGCTAAGGAAATTTCAAGCATTCAGTGGAATAATATTAAGCTACCTTGAAAGATAGAACAATAAGAAAAAAAAATTCTAAACAAGATCGTAATGCTTAGACATATTCAATACGAGTGATGGATAATAAACAACATATGATCTTTTAATACATGATTTTATCAAAATGTTCACACGTGCACTTTTAACCGCACTTCTTCAAGAAACAATTGCACGTATTGTTCGTATGCGAGCGAAATACAACCGTTCTATGTCTTGTTTTGAAGGATAGTTACGATAATTGTATATTTACATTTAAAACATATGACTTTTTGCAGTAGAGTGTACATTAGCAGCACGTGTTTTTGCTAAACTGACTAAACAAATAATTATCATTAAGCTCCAAAACAGAAAAAATGCGACATAATAATCAATTACCTGATAATTTGCCACAATTACAAAACCTAATTAAACGTGACCCGGAATCATACAAAGATGAATTTCAACAGCAATATCGTCATTTTCTCAATAGCTTGGAAGTATTTGCTTTAAAACCAAATGAAGAAAATAAAAAAATTGATGAATTAGTGATGTTCATAGCGCAAGTATTAAATTAAATTAAAGCATTATGATCTTGTTTAGAATTTTTTTTTTAATGTTCTGTCTTTCAAGGTAGCTCAATGTTATCCTGCTGAATGCTTGCAATTTCCTCAGCACTTGGTGGATTTGTTGAAAAATCATGCTACCACATTAGATCCTACTATGCGCAATTGTTTTGTTAAGGCTTTGATATTAATGCGTAACAAAAGCCTCATTCCTGCCTTGGAATTGTTGGAAATATGTTTTCAGTTAATGCGTTGTCCAGACAAACATTTGAGGACATTTCTTCAAAACCACATAATAGCCGATATCAAGAATATGAATTCTAAGCACAAAGATATGAAGCTAAATTCCACGTTGCAAAATTTTATGTATTCAATGTTAAAAGATGCTAACCCAAAAGCTGCTAAAATGTCTTTAGATGTTATGGTTGAACTATATAGAAAAGATATATGGAATGATGCCCGGACTGTGAATTTTATTGCAAATGAGGGCTGTTTTTCAAAGATGACAAAGGTATGGTTTTAGAATGCCGAAGCAATTGATTTATTCTACAACGGGATATTACAGGTTATGGTGGCTTCCTTGAAATTCTTTTTGGGTTGTGATGAGGAAAGTGTCGGTTCTAATGATTCCGATAGTGAGGATAATATAGATTTAAAAAGCGCTCTAATACAAAGTCGTGTAAATAAAAAAACCAAAAAGCGTAAGAAGCAATTGGAACAATTGAAGAGACAAGCTGTAAAAGCTCAGAAAAAGAAAGGACGGGCTCCTTCTTTCAACTTTTCTGCGATCCATTTAATACACAATCCTCAAGGCTTCGCCGAAGAGCTCTTTAAACAATTACAAAGTGGCAATGAACGTTTTGAAGTAAAACTTATGCACCTGGATGTAATATCTCGTTTAATTGGTATTCACCAACTATTTTTGTTTTCTTTTTATTCATATATTACAAGATTTATGCAACCACATCAGCGACAAGTAACTAGAATTTTACAGTTCGCGGCTCAGGCATCTCATGAGCTAGTGCCTGGGGATGTGATAGAACCCATTTTAAAAACAATAGCAAATAATTTCATAACCGAACGTAACTCTTCAGATGCCATGGCTATTGGTTTGAACGCTACCCGCGAAATTTGTCAAAGATGTCCTTTGGCTATGGGCGAAGATTTATTGAGAGATTTAGCTATGTATAAAAGCTATAAGGATAAGTCCGTAATGATGGCTGCAAAGTCATTAATAACGCTCTACCGGGAACAATTGCCAGCATTGCTGCACAAAAAAGACAGAGGACGTTTAACGGAAGCTCAGGCTGAATTAAAACCACGGGCTTATGGTGAAATCCAAGTACACGACACGGTACCGGGAGCCGAGGCGTTGCTAAAAAATTCGAAAATCATTAACATCGACAGTGATGACGGTAGTGATTTTGACAACAATCAAGGGGAATGGGTGGACGTATCGCACAGCGAAAATGAAGCTGACAGCGAGGCACAAAGTAGTGACAACGAAGAGGAGAGTGAATTGGAAATTGAAAATGACAATAATAGTACCGAAGACTCTGACGAAGATTGTATTGAAGAGGAATCCGTAAAAGTATCACCTGCGATTCCATCCGATGTTAAAAAGCTTAATGAAAAAGAGTCTGCCAAGGAATTGGCGTCAACTCGTATATTTACTGATGAAGATTTCAAACGCATTAACGCAGTCAATCTTAAAAAGACAGTCACCAATGCGCGCAAACGGCCGTTGGAAAAAGAAAATTCAGAATTAGTAAAGCTCGATAACATCGAGATGATTTATAAGAAACGTAAGCATGATAAGGAATCACGTTTGGAAACGGTTGAAGATGGGCGCTCAGATCGCGAAAAATATGGTTGGAAAGATGGCCGCAAAAATCCCGATTGTTCCAAAACCAATCGCGAGAAACGCAAACGAAAAAATTTCGTTATGATGCGGCACAAGGCCCGATCTAAGGGCAAAAAAAGCTTTCGTGAAAAACAACAAGCCTTAAGAAGGCATTTGTTGCATCAAAAGAAAATGAAATAAGTACATACGCAACTAATAAAAGTTCATTGTTACATATTTTTTTATATACTGTTTACGTGTACGGCTTTATTCTACATAAAATAAAATGCGATCCTTCACTCATCGACGTCTTTTTTCCGAAGATTTTTTAATTCTTTTCGGACCTTTGACAAAACACCAATCCACTTGTATAGGTTGGCCCATAATCTCGGTGCCATTCAAATTATCCTTTGCAGCTAAAGCCTGTTTATGCGTTTCGTATTCTACAAGTGCGTAACCTTTAGAAAATCCGGTACGACGATCTAAATTAAGATGAATATTCTTTATGTCGCCATAATCACAAAATTTTTCCTGTATTTCGTCCTCTTGTGCTTCTTCATGTATATTGGTAACAAATAATATCCATCCTTCTACAGAACGCTGTGGTCCCGGTTCTAGCTCGTCATCATCTTCATGCCGTACACGCTCATACTGGTGTATTGTTTCGCGGACCGTAGTTTCACTGCCAAAACCGCGTCCTTTACGGTGCTTCGCTTTCTCTTTAAGGCGTACGATACCTTCTAAACACGCGCACAAATAGCATAAGGGGAAAAACAGAGATCATTTGACATATTCGAAACGATTCGATTTACGACTTACGATCACCGTCTTCATCAACCTCAAACTCTTCAGCATTATCAATATCTAATACATCAGCCATTTTTATATATATTAACTTTTTTGTACAAATTTATATTTTAATCCCTCGCTTTACACTTTCCTTTGAAGAACAAACACCGAGCAATCAACCAAATTTGATAAACATTTATTAGGTGTTGCCATACAAATTTAGTTTAGTTAGTTTAATTTTTATGACACTAAACTCTATATGAAATAGACGATTTGATATGCGTCCGGTGGGATTTTTCTCGGTTTTAATCAAGTCCAAAAAAGCTGCTTATTTAGCTAGTAATCATCCAAACCACTGGCGTAATTTTCCGCGAAGCAGCGACACCATTCAAGATTTTAATAAATGCTGGGCCGAATTATATTCGAACACAAACCCTTGAACAATTTTTATCGAATGACTTGAGTTATTGATAAAAGTACATCTCAAATAAAGTGTCAAAGTTTGTTTACCAAAACTATACGCATTTTGTTTACGCAATTTGTTTAGTTGAAGACGAAGGAAGATGGGTGATCGTTATAATATTCACAGTCAATTAGAGCATTTGCAAAGTAAATATATCGGAACAGGTCATGCTGATACTACCAAATACGAATGGCTAACTAATCAGCATCGTGACTCACTAGCCAGGTATTCCAATTTTATTCTAGGAATATATTTTAAACACCTAAAAAATTAAACTCACACAATGCAACGAATATATCATAATCATTAGTTTTTACTGAAGTTAGCGCTAATTAAATACTGATTACCCTTATAAATTTATTTTATTCCTCTTAAAGCTATATGGGGCACTATGATATGCTCAACTATTTTGCAATCGCCTTAAATGAAACTAAAGGACGTGTTAGGTTCGATTTAATGGAGAGAAGTTTGCAGCCTTGTGGTCCACCTCCAGAAAAGCCAGAAGATTAAATTTCTTTGTTAAACTTTATTACAAATATAAACTTTTATAAAATTTCTAAAACATACAAAAATCTTCATGTTTTTGAGTATTGTGAAAACTACGGAAAAACTACTCGAGCCCGAACGGTGCATAGTCTTCTTCGGGCTCTTCCACAATTTCGTACCTCATCTCATTGATGAGGAGGTAATCGTTGGTTGCCTGTAGTCCTTTTTTACATGGAATACTGAAAGGTTCCTTAGACGATTGCACAATTGTATGATTTCGAAAGCTGATCTGGTCCTCTTCCTTTTTGACAAAGACATATTAACGAAGAAAACTTCAAGAAGGTCCTGGCTTACCCTGCATGAGTCGAAAATTGTGTTCATCAAATCTTCTATCAAGCTGGCGAAATTTGTAATCGTTGTGTCTGTGGCGACAGCAAGGGTGTCCTTCTTAACACTTTCACGAAATATTCGCTAATTTGCTGGAGTTCGTCTTTGACCTTATTCGCATTTTGCCCCAATATGGATCTCCGATGAAATAAATTGAAGAATTTTAACAGCATCGTGGAGATCTCCAGGTCCAGTTGGCAATCTCGGGGTCGTTTCTGTACAGATCTTCATTAATAACCGCTTGTAGTAAGGCTGGTGTCGCGTGGTGGAAAAATTGCACCAGAGCATTTTAAGCAATCGCTACGTAAAGACAAAACAATGAAATTAATCAATTAAATGCCAGACTTTGTTGCAAAATTTAGAAAATAATTGTAAAGTCGTATTTTTGTTTCCTTTTTTCAATTGTTTTTTTATCTTTTGAGGAGGTGTATATAGTTGTGGATCAGCAGAATTCCAGCGTGTAATGAGTGTACCGCTTCCTTATAGGCGAGATTCCTGCCGCAAACGACTGCTCGCACGTCTAATCCAATCTCCTGTACCAGGTTGAGATTGTTTTGCAGTACTCTTGCATCTAAATTGCCACGCGTGGAGGGGTGGACGCTCATGACCATAATAAAAGCCTTCACTAGGCTTCTTACGGCGAAGACGAGGACCGTTTTGTAGGCAGAAGTTTATCATGTCAGCCAGTTGCATAATGTTCAATTTTTTTTTTAGTTCCAAGGACTTCGGTCTGGTAGGAACACGTGTTCCTTTTGCGCTCGTTGACGTAATTGAAACTCTATAGTGTATCTGCTGCCCACAAATTCACTACGTGATTATTGGTGAACACTTCGTTGAAGTGCAATTGGACAATTTTGTCGTGAGAAGTCAATTTCCTCACGACCTCTCGAAGTGCCTCAATATTCGGCACCACTCTCCCAGCATTTTCCACTTCCAGGCCTTCTGGATTTACGGCGGGTTCAAGGCGTCTATCTTTCCTCCTCCGAGCTGCCGCCGACGATGTTGACGGTCCCTCGTCGTCTACGTCGTTGATGTATCTATTTGCATTATTACTAAAACCCATAATATTGGAGCTTTCTATTCTAAATGGTCGTTCATTCGTCTGTCACTCCGTTTGTTCCCCTGTAACTTTTTCCTGTGAAAATTTGCGGTCTATTTCGGCAAATTCTAAAAAGTTTTCGTAGTCTTTGTGCATCCGTTCTTTTTCTTCTACCGGTATTTCTCAACAGTCTACTTCTACCAGTATTTCTCTATAGTCTATGTCCATCTGTACTTCTCCACAATCGATTTCTACCGGTACTTCCCCGGGCGCTAACATTTTTGTGGTAATTCTAGCGATAGCACCTTTCAATCCTAATTTATGCTTGTACCACACATACGCGCCTATATCCGTGTACCCTGTCCCCTCCGAGTTGTCCAGTCGTTTTAGGTAGATTTTTGTCAATATTTTAGCTAACCTACTACCATGTATCTTCCAAGAAACGTATCCCTTTCCTAGACCCCACAACTCTGGATAACTTTTCAATAGGTCGCTGAAAAGTGCGTTAGGTATGAAGACCATTTTATTATACAATATTATATTAAATAACGTATGTAATAATATAGATAATATGTATAATAATATAAATAAATATGTATTAAATCCTGAAAAGAAGAAAAGAAGAAAAGAAAAAAAGGGAAATATATACATGAAAAATTTGCTTTTTTAAAATTTGTTTGTTTTTACTTAGTAAGAAGTTGTCTTCAATAATAACAAATAGTAATTTAAAAAAAATGGTACAAATTACATTTCATTAAAAACCGTACCCGGCATGACCTTCTAACGTTTAAGAAAAATTTCATAGAGAAAAATACCATAGAGATATAACATCTCACAAAAAGAAGAAAGTAAACAAATTCAAAAGCTATTCTTGAAGATATTCTTGAAAACAAACGCAATACATATATGAAGACACTTTTAAATATCAGATAAATTAAACATAGACTTAAGAAAGGAAAGAGTATAAAGTATATTGCTTTTTAAAACTGGTCTTACCTTAATAAAAGATATGTCCAGTCTATAGGACGGAAAGATTTAATGCGAGTCAGTCATTAAAAATATGTCATTATAAAAAAAAGGTATCTTGAACTGAAGATAAACATAACATATCTGATTTAAAAAGAGAAGCCGGCTTCTCTTACGGTTGACGCTATTTCAACTACCGTATAAGTATATAGCTTTTAATTTTGTCCTTATGCAATTAACAAAGAAAAAAAGTTAACTAAAAATAGAAATTAATAATGTATTATTTTTTACGTATGGATTTAAGATGTTGCTGCTAAATCGATCTTTGTCTGGCTGTTTATAATCTGCTTGTCTACCTGTTTATCAGGAGACCAACCTTTGTTTCGCAAATCAATCAAAAATCTATAATTTTTGGTATGGAGCTTTACCATTGTTCTAAAATTTTTCATCCCAACACCATTAACATTTCAAGTGAGAAAACTAACTAAATCGATCATGGGCTATATAAATAAATAAATGTCTTTTGACATTGGTTTGTTCATATTTACTTTATTCTCTAATATCGAATAAAGTTCCACGACGCCGCTTGATCTATATATTCAAAAATAATGCAAGGTGCTTTTATGTTCTATTAAAATATAACTCACCGCCTAAATTTATTACTGAGCACGAAGTGATAATGTTGTCTTGGGCAGATCTTTAATGTCTGAAACCAAATTGAAGATTGGTGAGGATACGTTTGGACTCGGGATGCCATTCTAGTCGTAAGTACAACACTGTCTCGAAAATTTTTCTAAGGAAGGAAACTAAGGCAATACATCTGTTGGAACTAAGACTAACTGACGAGTTATTCTTTTTTCTTAACGTGAAAATTTGGATATCGTACCAGTCAGAGGGTATATGGTAATTAGGATATTCTTAAATTCTGTTAGTGAGATTAAACCGTTTTCAATATTTAAAATTTTGAGGTGATCGTTACGAATACTATCTAAACCCGGAGCCGAGTTTTTGAGCTCAAGGAGAGATATGTCAGTTAAGAAGAAATTCCTCATCGTTCATCATCAGTTCCTCATCTAGCTCCATGGGTAGTCCGTTAAACGTACTAACTACGTGGGCTGTGTAGTTAAACAACCAGTTACCGATAATATCCCAACGGAGGAAAATCACAATTCTTCTTCAGAAATATTGATTTAGATACAATAGAAATATAAACCATCGAAACAGACACTGGTACGGATAAAAACATTAGCATGAATAGCAAATGAACCCATAAATACTGTATACATGGAATGAAAATCTGAAGCTAATATCTCGACGACGGGACTAAGAAGAACGTAACGAAGGAGGATGCAGATGAGGCTGCGATAAAATCACATATGAATGGGCTTCTAAAACTTATTCAAATTTGTGATCCGAATTTGATAACGAGTTCACCCAAGATGGCGATTTTCTTTTGCATTCTTAAACAAAGTTTTTAAGGCGGTTTTTTGCCATTATAAATTTGTTTTAAAACTTAATCGAGTTGGTTAACAATGCTCGTGCAGGGATTAAACGTTTCGATAATATTTTCATATTAGTTTGTTTCAAGTTTTTATTGAGTTCATTTTTGTACTATTTTATTATTATATGCTATTATATTATTCAAAAGTTCTGTTAATTCGTTAGTCTTCTATCCTTTGGATTTAGTAATTTTTTTGTAGGAACGACAAATTTTCGAATTAGATGAATGACCAGCATATAAATTTATACATTTTTTAGTTTGAGAACGATCGGTTGGCTTCTGCCACCAATGTATAAATGACTTAAAGATGGAGAACTTTTCAAATCCAGGTATATTGTGGATCAATAATCGTTGTTTTCATAATTAATTTGAGATTTCAGCTATGTTTTCTCACACGCGTCAGATTTTTTACGCTATTTAACATTATGGCGTTGATGGCACATGTCTCGACATAGACACTATAATGTTGCGTTCTATCGAAAATATGCCCCCAAACTTTGTCGGAGCTGAATCAATCCGTTATTTGGCTGCAGGAGTGATGAATACTGTACCCGATGGCTTTGGTCACGAAATATCCAAATTATATGTTTCCAATTTCGTGAGAAATTTTAAAGGCAACAATTCGGGCAATCATGGTCCTGGTGTTATAAACCGTGCAATGCGAAAAGTTTGTGACACTGAGACAATTGCACTAATGTTTGATCCGAAACGTTGTAAAGGCTTTCATATATTTGATCGAAACATTTTCTATGCGATATCTTGGGAAGAGTGGCGTGATTCTTTCGAATCAGAAAAAATGGAAAAAACATTAGGTCGCACCGACCATTCGTACATAGGTCATTTCTGAAATAAAATATCCGTCGACTTTTCCATTAAAGTAGGCATTAGTAGGCAGCTAGAGAAAAATTTATATATAAATTTAATAACAAACTCGATCTTTATTTGATTTTAGTTTAAGTTTTCATTTTCTTCTCGTATGCATACAGCAACTAAATTAAATTTGATTTTATTAGCCATTGATTTAACTAAGAGCTTTTTCCAAAGATTGTTTTGTTCCTCATTGCAATTATTTTATATATAAATAAAATAATACTACGTGTTCAAAAAGTGAGACTAACTTAACTCCAATCTTTTGAAACATATTTATTATTCCAAATC